TCATGAATCTCATTACCAGCCTACAATGACAGGCAAACACTGCCCGTCATGTGCTATCAACCAGAGAGTATTCTATTGCTTGGTATCAATCAGCTGAATGAATCTCATGAATCTCATTACCAGCCTACAATGACAGGCAAACACTGCCCGTCATGTGCTATCAACCAAAGAACTGAGGCAATCATATACATAAAATAATAAATAATTATAATCATATAATAATAAAAAAATACTAATACTATTGGCATTATTCCTAGGGATTGCGTTTGTGTTTTTCTACTTGTCCTACTGGTTCTGCAAGCCTTGTCTCGATGATCCAAACGACAACGAAAAGAATGGTGCAAGCTCCTCACACGTTAATACAACGGACGCATGCGCAGTACCCATGAAGAGCCTTGAAGAAACTGAGTATAGCACTAAAGTTTAGGACATTTAGGAAGACTGCCCGAGTTATTATCGATTACAAGTGTACGAGCTATACTATAAAGAGGCGTATCTAGGACTTTGAGTAGGGCGTCAAAAATTCAAGAAGATGCACCTCTTGCTTTACTAACCAACTAATTCCAAAGGGGGGGGGGGGGGGGGGGGGGGGGGAGAGGAGGTCAAACAAACAAGACGCACCTCTTTCTATGCTAACTAACTAGTTCCAAGATATATATAGATACACCCTTGGTATTGATTACAAATTTAAGGTTTAGTGCACATTCTGGATTTTAAAAAAGTGCATTAGCTATATGTATATATTTGATAACGTAATTTTATTTGTTCATAATGCTAGCAGTCGTAAGTATCATATATAGCATATTCTATTCGATACATTATGTATGAAACCATTCTATCTTATTATTATACGTTTTACTCACTTTTGATTGGACGAGAGCCCTCAGCCAATTCCTGATATCATAGGTTTTTCTGCAAATACATTTATCGTGTAAAGTTAATTCAAGGTTACAATAGAAAGAGAAATTACGCTTGCAATATAAAGGAAATGCAAAGGAAATTTGAGAACTTTCAAAACATCACGACTATCTTTAAACCCCGAATTGTACAAGAACATTATGAGATTTTTTGTTTATAATACACTTAACAAAATTGAGCAACTTAATTGGGACTCTACAGAGTACAATTTGGGATTTAATTGTACTCCTCTTATCCAATCAGAATCGAGTAATTTTGTAGAGTGCATCATAAGAAATGAAATCTTTATCCCTAATTTACAAAATTTGCCTTAATATTATTGACTACTGTAACGTAGCGTAACTAGTAAATGTACTGTAAGCCCTTCACAAAGATGTTCCAATCGAAATTCTAAGTAAATTTATTAGCTATAGTTTATATAGATTTGTTATTAATTTTATTTTAACCCCCTAATAATTTAATTATGGAGCTAAATTATGATCTCAACAGAGATTAATTGAATAGTCTTTTCTCAAACGTCAGTGGGTCGTTTTGCAATAAAAGACATCCCACATGCGCAAGATCTGATTGACTTCATAAAATGTTGCGCCATAGGGGTGCGCAATCGCACATTTCCAATTTGAAACCGCTTCTTGTTCTTTTGGGGGTTCAAACAAAACAAAAAATGAAACGCAAGTATGGAGTCCAAGCGGCTTTCGTGCCCGCCTGTTAGAACAGGTTCCATATAGTAAATCATCACAGTGGTTATAACCAGGACAAGAATAAGCGCGGATTGTCATCAGAGACAAAGGCTTCCTTTTAGCTGTTGTCAAGCTACTATGGAGTCGAAGCATTACATTCTATTTTGGAACAACCTTAGCGTAACCTCTCTTACATTTGCAGACTGTACAGATTACTCAATAGACATATAAAACCTTCTCTTTTTCTGTACATTTAATGTTTGGCTCTCGTCATATATACACCTATTTCAAAAACTTTGTCATCACCAAATGCGATCGATATGACGTCATTCCGACATGGAAATGGTTTCGTTGAATATAAAGAACATTGAATCAGTCTCAACACTAAGGTCCATGTTCTTGACGAGAATAAGAAGCAGAAACACAAGTCATTCCAGCTATTCTTGGATCTTGGAATGACCTATCTCTTATCGCTTTTCGCCTATTGACTAGCGCATTTGGCGATGACAACGTTTTTTGAAATAGGTGTACGTCGTCTTCGTCTATAAACAAAGATTTAATTAATACTAAGAGTACCATAACTTATCGCAAGTTATTAACGGTGGAATTGAATTCCAGAGATGCATAAATATAAAATAAAAGTTCATTTTAGGCTTTACTTGTACGAGTTTTAATTGATTTTTCTTGACTATAGTATGAACAAAGGTGTTGCACAATACTGGCCTATTATATGTTTCTCAGTTCATCATCAGTTTATTGATGAACGAAGATTATACAACTGTCATCCCATAATTAAACATCAGTTGGTCTTTATTACTTTATGCAAACATAATCAAGTATCTTTACTTAGTAATTCATCATCAACAGAGTGTAATTAGATTTATTAACGTGAATTGTCCGTCAACGTCCACACATGTCAGGGTTGCACAAAGGACGGAAGCAAAGCCTCCACGACAGCTTTTCCTTCACCAATAACCATCTTGTAAGTCAAAATTTGTCAGGTTATTTGAAAAGCTCTTCACTAACACGTTGTACATGTGGGATTTCAATAGCTTTATTACTAATAGGAACTATTTCAAATCCTATTTAAGTATGAACTTTTCTGCTCTGCTAATCTGTGGACCATTTTGTTCGGTTTACAAAAGTACTGTATGGCATCCTAATACAATATGTAAATGTGTGCTCAGTGTTTATACCATAGACGCACTTCAGTTACCGTAATGATGTAAAGTTTCTGCTAAAATATAATGCTTAAGGAAGCGCAATTCTAGATCTTCCTGATTAAAAACCACATAGAATATAAGAAAAATGGAATACCAATGTCAAATGATTAAGAAAAGATGCTTCAATTCTTCTGCAAACAGCGACCTAAATAAACGTCTCTTAAACTGAGGTTGTCACCTAGTGAAGTCTTCCACATGTAGGCAAAGTCTCGATGCTTTATGAGAATGCTCAGTAATTACAGTATTCTCTTTCCTAGACAGTGCTTTAATCCCGGGTATTAAAGACTATGACACCGCAATAAGAACCAATAATAATGCCATATAAATAATGTCATAGCTTTTATGTTAAGTCGCGCGTTCTAGTAACCACAAAGGGACAACATTAATATTATATGTGATGTCTGAATTAACGTATGAAACTGAGAATGTGGGTTGGTGTAAATATATATTTCTTAAGAAGATGGTTTGATTTAACTCAAAGATTTTTGGAATCATGAACCCGATTTTGGGGGGTTAAAAATATGCTTGTTTTCATTCATGTGTCTCGTATCAGGTCAGGCGTGGCCTTCACAGTCACAACTGTACTTGTCAACTTGGATTTACTCAATGTTTGCATTGAGGTCCGGATTTCCGATTCTCAAATATGGCTTAATAAAACGGACGAAAAGTGTCATCGTAAAACGTGCGAAAGCACGAAGAAAGACCTTGACATAAGAGGATTAGAGGAATTAGCCTTAAACATTCCAATCAAACGAGTTTGTACAATCGTGAAGAACTCAAGCCTGTGAGCCTAATCATAAATTTGGATAGCACCTTACAATAATTGGCTATTATTTGACAATTTTCTTATATTTTTACGGGTGTTTCTATTTGAAACCAAGAAAGCTATTTTCGTCGCTAGGTATGTGCTGTTGCATCAAGGCAGGAAAGACTTGTATAGATAGGTATTAGGATACTTAGCTATAGACTTAGATGGAATCCCGTATTAAAACAATCTAAAGATCACATAAGATAACTTAAGCTTCAACCATTTGCTTTCATAATACATGGAATAAACAAAATTAAGTAATTTGTAAAAGAAAATTGGAAAATCCAGAATCATTTGTAAGACAAAGCCGTGAACCTTTTATCGAAGTAATGGCTCCAAATCCTTGCAACAACAAAGTATATTAGAAATATACACTTGGCAAAACTACTTCAAGCTTGCTGGAGTCGTTTGCTGGAGTCGCTTTTTAGCTCAGCCAAATCCTTGAATCTTGGTACCTAAATCTAGGTTAAGTACTTTACTTGCACTTTGGAATTGCAATGAAAAAGACCCACTTAACTAAGTTGCAAATGAACTCATTTCAGTTGCATCAGGAAGGCACCTTCCGGGTTGCATCAAGAAAAGTTCTTTTTGGTGTCTTCGGTTATTAAACAAATGTTTGAGCGTCTAGATGAGCTAAGACCAGAACATTTCGCAATCTCCAATGAGAAAAAAATAACCAAATTAAAGCATCACATTTTTGCATGACGTTGGCCCTGAAGTCCAAATAAATAAAGCTATATACATGTTGATATCGTATTATTGCACTCTTAATATTGTTACCAAACTTTGACCGACTTTTGCTACTTTTAGGTACATTCATAAGCAACTGTTTCAGTGAGATACAAAAAACCAGTTCATACTTAACACCCAACAATGATTTCTTACAAGATTCTTATTATTTTTCTGATTTGAACATATTCATCAGAGTTTGAACTTGCTTAATAAACATTGCCTTAGAAGAAGAATAGTTATGTTACCCCTAAGAAATTTTTATTGCATTATATATCTTATGCCTTATGCTTTCATGTTGTTGTGAACATCTATATGTGGTTTGCCATTACAGGATTCTAGTAATACCAGACTTTTGTGAACACAATTTCTTAACCATTCTCTTAGTTAGAAAAATAATAATTCTTTAAATTTTACCAAAAATAATTTTTCCCCCCCCCCTGTCTAAATCCAGCATACTTACATGCTTCTTAAACAACCTTGATTGATGTTCCATCAGTTCTTAGGGTGCTATATATACTTTCTCGATTCTTAAGTTCATTATTCGTTGCTCAGGAAGAAACCCCTTTTGAATCCAGATTAAAAAAGAATTTTGCATTATTTTTGTATTCCATTTATATTTCATTTCCAAGACCTAAATTGATTTGCTCTTTCAATACCAATGGCATACCGGTTGGAGATCTTAGGTCGCTAGATCTTCTATAAAAAGAAATCTTAGCTTCCCAAGAAATCCTGAATTATATTTTCCTAAAACTCAAGTAAATATATGTTAAAGCTTAAATGACTATTTGCTGCATTGCATTCTACAATACTTCACACTAATTTTAGTGAGATTAGTGTATGACTTTCTACACACACACACGCACAACTCATTTACATATTGAGGGACTCAATTGTGGCATAAACGAAAAGATAAAAATTAGATCTGACATTGCTTTACTTATGACGATGAAGTGGAAAGAATCATTTGCCAATTGTAGCATGCAAGAATTGGAAAGAATATTTGATTTTTTCATTGAAAAACAATTATTATTTACTTCATGAAAACATCTCAGAATAGAATTTTACTATTGGATTATATTGCTACAAAACCCCTTCAGTTGCGATACAGTGCCATGGAGGAAGAAAAACGACAATTAGTACATGCTAACAATAGCTACATCTGAAACAACTTTCTGGGAAACTAAATACACAGAAAATCTCAAATTTGCCATTTTGCAAGTGAAGAAAGACTTAGCAACGCTTTTTCTTCGTGAAAACAAAAAAGCATGCAAGTATTTCCTAACGCTTAGGAAGGACTTCTAGAAATATTTGCTTATATCCTACATAGGTATAAAGTCTTTGTTAGCAGGGAAATGGCTCAGGCAGCCGAGGAATGTCAATCTTAAAGTGAAGGCCACCTTGGGAGAACCTTGAGCACTAAGACAATAATTTTTCCATTTGGAGACATTTCATCAACCCAGGAAGCATTGCATGACCATTTGGACAAAATCCCAGCTTTCTAAACCTTCTAAGTTTATTTAGTAATTTACAAATTGCATTATTAATTAACTTATAGTAAGAAACTGCCAATCAATCATTTCAATAACCTTCGCGTATAAATATTGACTTATTTTGTATAAACTTCCAAGTTTGAAAAATGCTGGCATTGAAGTCAAAAGATTTTCTTTGAAGTAAGAATTATTCGAAGACTTTGTTTAGTTTATATCTTATAGCTTTTTCATGGAGTAGCTGTCGGCACTGTTAATCCCTTAATATACTTGCCAGAGCAGGTTCCGGGCAATACAGACCAGTTGGTAAACATTTTGGCTATTGAAGTTGTTTTATTAACTTGCCTTTTCAAATGACCTCAGCTGTTTTGGGAACTCGGAGCTCGGAGCTCTAAGAGAAATGAATTTTTGATCAGATTACTAATCTACTTTAAAACAACAGTTTAAAACATCATAAAAACAAATTAGTTATTTCCTTGATTTCCTGACGTCGTGGTAGCAAATCTCATAAAATAATTTTTGATTACAAGATGTTGATGATGTTGATGAGAGATTGTATAACTTATTATCATGAACAAAATAACGACGTTGAATAAACTAAATTTCTAACAATATAGGAAATATCCGTTTTCTCTCATATTCCTTATAAATTTAAGCTTGAGACAGCCTGAATCATTCATCCATCCAATTCAAATTCCGATACCGATATATTCCAATTGCAATCCATCCATGCGACCATGTATGCATGCATAAATGCATGCATGCATACACCCATCCACTAATCTATCAAGGCTGTCCTATAATATGCAATGCAATGACCTCCATAACCTATATGAGTCCCGCTGGCTCCTATGCCTGAAAGATGGTGATAGTGAAGGTGATGATGATGACGGTGATGGTGATGATAATGATGATGTTGATGATGATGGTGATGATGGTGATGATGGTGGTTATGATGGTGATAATGGTGATAATGATGATAATGATGTTGATGACGGTAGTGATGACGGTGATGATGGTGGTGATGATGGTTTTAATGGTGATAATGATGATAATGATGACGATGATGATGATGATGGTGATGGTGATGGCGATGATGGTGATTATGATGAATGTATGCCAGTTAGAAGCAAATGAAAATATTAAAAAAAACTTAAATTCGGACGATATTAGATGCAAAACCGCACTAATAACATAAGATGACATCAATTTGGGGCAACTTCTTCCATGCAACATGGCATCACATCTGCTATAAATGGAACAAAATTCTCGAGAAGAATATTGCTCAGTATTTGTATAAGTGGTGAATTGATTCAAATTATTCAATAAACGGCAAATCCTCACTTTTTTGAATATTTAGTATGATTTTAGTTGTTGCCTATTTAAGGAATGCATATGCTTTACTTTGCCCAAGTTGTCCCATCCTATCGATCCTGTCTTGTTTGTTGATGAAACATTTGATGCTTCCTACATAATGCTAATCTCTAAAACTTTACTTATATCAAATAAGGGGGAAACGTTGGAAGCTTTTGAATATAGTAACTGAGAATTGCCCTTCTTTCATTTCACAACAAGATAGCTTGAAGTAAAAAGTATGTTGTGAACAATCCTTATCGTGGAATGGTGAGTGCCAACTTGAAAATCAGAATTGTTCCCAGAAGGTTAAATATAGATTATATTAAAAATGTAAAATATATGCGAATATATTCGTTTAAATTTTTGTTTATGTGTTCTGTGAGTTGATTTGTACAGGTTTTTAGTCGGAGTCTATGAATAAAAAACAAATAAACTGATCTAACGTTATTCTTTTCAATTCAACTGTTGATCATGCAGAAGTTAAAACACAAATATTTTGGGAAACAAGACATTTGCAACGACTTTTGTCTAATTATTTTTTGAATAATAAAATAAATTATGCTAGAGGTTATTATAATTTAAAACAGAAAACAAAAAAACATTTTTTTTCGGCAACAGAGTATTTAGCGATGAGGCGTTAACCATTAATTTTTTTGCTACAGACAATATATAATAGTGTTTCTCCCAAAAACAGTAAAACAACAATGAATCGAATAGTGTCCCATACCTTGCCAATAAATAACAATATTTCTTCCTATATTAATATAGTTTAAAAATTAGTATTCGAAAAACAAGGAGAAAAGAAATCAAAACAATTAAGATTTATAGGAACTGGAAGGAAAAGCGGCGAAAATAGCGTCTTATTAAATGTGATATATCGATAACAAACTACATTTTTCTTATCAGTCGTTTTTGTAAATACCGAAAAGAGCCGATTTCTCTCGATTATTAAAACACACACGTTAAATTAAACGAAGTCGGGATTAGTTACGCCGACCGCTGATATGGTAGCAAAGCCCATAGACGGTTTACACCGATGGACATCTAGTGATAGAATTTTATATTGACTTTCTTCCTTCTCGCAAACCGCGGCAAACGTGATCCCCTTTTAATCGTTTTCCTATATTTTACTTTAGCTGTTATAAAATTTCTCACTACACTTAAATATTCTTATGTTTATATACTACTCGAATATTTTTAGGATTCCTTTTGACTAATCTTAAAGAAATTCTCAATGGTCGACTGACGTTTCCGAAGTTTTGGCGGGAACGATAAAGGAAAGGCTACAAAATGACCTTGGAGAAAACATAACACCGAAAAGCTAGCTAATTATATTTTAAGAGAAATATATTTACGAAATAATATTCAATACTGATATCCTTTTTTTGAGTTTACAATTAATGCAAAAACTTGACATATAACGCCTGGTAGAATTGAGTTGGAATCGAGCACGCGCGAACCAAGAATTGTACTTTTTGTTACTTCCATCCTAAAATTTGTTCGTACTTTAATTTTTTCTCCTACTTTTATATACTTCTGCTTAGGACTCAAATTAAGTATAGAACTAAGAATTTTAGAACTTCGACTTTTTTTTCTTTCGTTTTTTTTTTTTTTTTTTCTGTTGTTTTTTTTCTTGATGTAATTTTAATGAACTAGAGCTAGATTCTTTTGCTGTATTCTTTGGAACACAAACAGTTTTGAGTTTTGAAGTTATGTTGTACATTTGGATTAACGCGCTTCTCTCTTAGCTTTAGGCCGCAACTTTTGTTTTAAACATGAATGCTTTGACAATGCTAACTCGAAAATGTGTATGTATTTCTGTATGAGGTGTCTTAGCGGGGCAACACTTGCCTTGATTGTCACAATAACTCAAAAGCACCGCCAAGTAAAGTTTACTTTCCGAGGGTAATAAACTAACCATTTTGTATTATCACTCTCTCCTTTCAATTAAGAACAAAGCTATTTGAAAACGGTCGTTCGAAATACAAACTTCAAGACACTTTCTGAATGCGTTTTTTATAATCTTTGCGAAATGTCAAAGGTTGTGGGTTGATGGTTGAGAAACAGAGGCAAAAACGTCAAATTCGACGCGCAGGAATTCATCAAAGCTCGCCTCGATGTAGTTCGGTTTAAGCCATTTTAAAACAATGTAAATCCCGGGCGCTTAAACACATTTCGTCCTACTGAATTATAATTTCAATAGACTCCCCAAAGGAAACGAAAAGTTAACACAAACGAAAGAAATTATTCATAAAGTTAAGTGCAGTTTTCCTTAGTTTCGAAGATATGCGCTTGAACATTTGATGAGCAAATTTCTGACGACATGATTTAGTGTTTTCACATGTTTTCATTGCCATTGCTTTTGAAGAAGAACAGTAGATTAACACATAAGTAACTCATAAAACTATATTACTTGATGTACTTTTAGATTTAACGGCTATGTGTTGTCGGCGTTTTCCAAGAAAAAAACAAAGTCCTTTGACAAGCATTCAAATTATTCTTTCGTAGCGGTGATACTTTTGCGGCTTTTGCCAAAGAATAAAAGCTTGACAGCTCTACAAATAATCGACTCAGTAATCTGTAAACCATTCCCACGATCACAAGACAAATTTAGTCTTCATATCTCTTTCCTTCTCCACAATATGTCAACGTTTTTGACGCCAGAGCAAACAGCCTGCAAGCTAAAATATAGAGGATTCTGTTTTGCGTGTCATAAAGAGGACCTCAAGTAAACGACAGCTTATTCGTATATTTGAAAATGACCTTTCACGGGACCGGCGGAAAAGGAAATCAAAAGCAAGTATTGGTTATACAAAGAAAGGATCAAACTCAAAAATTGACGCTCACTCGGTCATCTTAGGAAGCCCTTGCTTTGGTTTGGGGGGCAAAAAATTTGGAACATTTTGAATCAAATTCGTGCATTTTTCATTAAGGAAGTAGTTGCCATCCTTCAATCTTTACAACAGCGTCCAAACTTTGAGTAATAATGAGTTTGTACATAACCGTGTCCTCTTGCGAGTCACAGATATGCAAACAACAGCAACAATGCGTTGAAAAGAAGAGGAAAAAACCATAAAAATATCAATCATGAACCGCCATCCCTATTTGTTTATTTATATTGTGACAATACAACCCTTATCTCTCTGTACAGATATTAACTTGTCTCCAAAACAAAGCGACGATTGCCAATAAAAACGGCGATGACAAAACACACAGTTTACTCAAAGGGGTTTTAATTACTTTGTGTGGGAGGTTTTATAGACTTTATCTAGCTATACTGTATCTTTAAAGTCATAGTCATTAGCACGTGTGATCCAGATCTATATTACTAGACCGTACTGTGCACAACTCTGAAGTGTTCAACCTTGGAAGCGTGCGTGGCCCATCGCCTAGACTGCATGTACCAAAGCTTGAGAGTCAGTCGTGATAGAAGTTTTCATAGACGCAGAATATGAGTTCAGAGGTTCAAGGTTCTTCAGCTAATGAGCTAAAAAGCGGATCCGAGAAGATCAAAAGACCGTTAAATGCGTTTATTATTTGGTCAAAAAAGAGGCGCCGAGTGATAGCGAATGAAAACCCACAGATGCACAACTTTGACATTAGTAGGAAACTCGGTTTGGAGTGGCAGAAATTGTCTGAAGAAGAGAAAGCTTACTATTTCGATGAAGCGAAACGCTTAAAGGAAGAGCACAAAGAAATGTACCCTAACTACAAATATCAACCAAGGAAAAGAGACAAGACTAACAAAAGAGGAAAGATGTTCCAAGGTGCTCCGTTCCACTTTAACTTTTTCGCACCAGGATCGCCATACTACGATTCAAGATATCCCTTCGCGATTCCTGAATCAAGGCTTGAAGGGTACTCTCCCGAAGGAGCCCACTTGCATATAGATTCCCCAAATGATGACCCTACGGCATCCAGCTCTCCAACGTCTCTACCCTCACAGACCAAGCCATCGAGTCAGGTGCAGGATGTCGGCAGCAAATCCAACGCAATTTGCCCAAATTATCGTCAGTCTTCAGAAGGTTTTGTATCATACAGACCGTGTGATCAATCGTACATGCATCTGAGGTCGACAATGGAGTGGCCTCATTGGTACCCTGGATCAACATCGCGGCTTGGAACAGTTCCTTATTACAGTTGCTTCTATCCGTGGCATTCGAGACCGGACTATCACTATTCATAGACAGACAGAAACACTATACTTAAAATATGAACTTGAACATTACTCAACAAATCTATCAAAACTTATCTATATATTTCCTTAAACTCAGGATAAACTCTCAGTACATGGTAACGTGGACTTTGACAAAGGCTTATCGCTTAAGAATTGGATTAAACCCGCACCTTGCCTAATATAGATAGATTATAAATGATCTATTATGGGCAATTTTGTCTAATTTTCTAGCCTAGCACACTTGAAAACTTCATGTTCAACGCTTAATTAGCGTATGATAGGATGGCGTTTTTGACCTAAGGCGTTCAACAAAGTGGATTAATCACTCGATAGGAAGATTTAATAGTTGTAAATTGGTATTCAGTAATGAAGGTCGATTTTCAGTCGTGCCGAAACTTTTCAGTGATTTGAAAACAAATGTCTTTACCTACAAGTTAAGAAAGTTTGATGTGTAAATACGAATTCGTTTTATGGATTCACAGTTCGTTAAACCGAAAAAAATCTAAAATATTATTCTAAAAAACAAGTAGAATTAAATGATGAAACAGTGTTAAATTTCAAGTCTTGGTTTCTTCAGTTTAAAGAGTAAAAATCGAAGGAAATTACGTTCGTGGAGTTTTAGTAAAGTTCTCTTAAGTTGAATTAAGTTGAGCGGTAGCTTGTTGACATTTCTAAGAAGTGGCGGTCGAATTTTGTTTAACATCGATAAAAATTCCTGAAAAATCACATTATAATTGCTTTAGGCCGACGTTACTTAATTCAAAAAGAGAATAAGATAAGATAATTGTATGAAAAAGAGAAAAATGGACTTTTTTGAGCAGTTTTCATGACATTTTTTAGTTGACATCATTTTTACTTTTGTGAGGACACGTGGCGTCATGGGACAACAGCAAGTTCAAAAAACCTCACTAAAAAGTTAGTCAAACTTGGTCTCTATCGACTCATAATGAAAAAAAACGAACTACTTAAGCGTAGGTAGAAAATAAAGAGCATTAGAAATTAAGCTTTGACTTGTAAAACAAAGCGGTCCAGTAATGTCCTCTTATTGCTATAGTGGAATTGGAGTTGCGTTTTAACGTCAAAACACAAAACGACATTTCGATAGCTGCCTGTTGAAATCAGTTTAAGAGTAGTCTGGATTAAATTCTTGTACAAATGTCGAAAAAATTGTTAAAATTGAAGATTACATGTAGTTTTATTTAGAAAAGCCTTCTGAGAGTTTTGTAGAATGTTTGTACAAAACGTAACGTATTTGTCAATAGAAGTTATGACAGAAAACCTTCTTTGTTAATGTTCTCTGTGAATTTAAAATAAGATTTAGAAATAAAGGTAGTGATTTGTAGAATTCAAATATGATTAAAAATAAAATATAAAAATGCATTCAGGTTTGGATCTATTGATGTTTAATTGTTTGTTTTGGGGACAAAATCGCTGTGTTTGAACTCTGCTGTTCAAGTATTGAACTAAGCTTCCATAATTGTACTATGTGCGGTGCAGTTCTATATACACCCGGACAGTTTATACAAAGCTCTGTCACCCCCTATGCACTGCCCCCTTTTACTGTGGTATCATATCTCTTACTATTCAATGCTATAAAGAAAGAAAAGTATGGGATTTCAAATTGTTTTTTGTAGACAATACTGATCACGAAGCCTTTATTTACCTAAAGCACATTTTTGGATTTGAAGCGAGGGGTTGAACGAAATAAATTATATATATATATATATATTACAAACTAAAAACATATATAATACATGTTTTCAAAATTTTTCAAAGTAAAACAAAATGATTATAAAAAATTGGAAAAAATATTCAAGTTAGCACGAAATGCTTTTTGTATTCAACTTTTCGTGTCATTTTTCATAGAAGCATAGACTTTTACACTTTGAAAGCAGCAGACCCAAAAATAATGTTTAAAGAAGTGAGAATACTAAAAACCTTAATCCTTAATCATGAAGCTTGTTTGATTTTTGAGAGAATATGAGTTTCTAAAACTAATAAAATATAAATACGGAAAATTTAGTCTGTTTTTAAAGAAGGTTGCAGTTTCTTTATAATTTGGCTCTTATTTCAATTTTGAACTTGCAAATCTAAAAATAATGATTGAAAAAAAAATTGCGACTGATTCTACAAATTTCAAATATAGATACTAGTACAACTAATATTTCTGAATAACTTTTGATGAACTAAAACTATTTAAATCCTAATTCAGATGTTATACGTTGAAACAAAAACAAAAATTTTTTTATATTTTACAATCCTTTTTTTGTTTGTTGAATAGAATAAATTATTTTTTGCATTGCACCTTGAATAGATTCACCAAATTGATTTTCACGAAGGCAGAAAAAGCAATTTTGTGTTACATTTTTTGAACAGTTCTGGTAGAATGCCCGCTGTTGTCAATACTTGGCTTCTTTCTACTTTACTTGATGAATTCAATGTCCAAGAAAGAAAACACAGGTCTGTAGGCAGTAGAAGAAGCTATAGCTTTTGCTATGCTAGCGTATCTGAAGAATCAAATCAAATTGGCCTAGTTTTTATTTTAGCCTTCCTTCTCGCCCCAATAAATGTTATGCCCCTACGAATGAAAGGAAAGTGTAAAATAGAACACAAAAGAGCAAAATATGTTTGCACTAAACCAAAAACCACTACAGAATTTTCATCACATGAAAAAAGAAAACAAGAACATAAAGTTATTGTTAGATGTTTGGGGAAGGCGGTTTCATCAAAACCATCTTACATTTAAACTTTTTTTCCCATGTTTTGTGCTCTTATAAGAGCGATAAAAATAGCCGATGTTGAGTGTAAAAGGGATAAGCTTCTGCTCTTAGGCAAACTAAAAAATGTGCGTCTAAAATATAAAAAATTAAAAAAAGGAATTCAGATTATTGCTTAAAATATATGTATTTCTTCAGAGGTGCTTCAAATATTATTAGCAAATGAGGATTAGCGTGTCATATAGTCTGTAGACACTGATCTAGACTGACCATGCCAATATAATATCTACCAGTATTAGAATAGCTACCTGTTTAATCTAAAGAAGCAAGGCTTTGTTATAAAGTAAGTATATGCAGGTAAGCCAGTGAGCCACGAAGCTGACCAAGGAACAATAAAAGAAAGAAAACAGAAGAAAAATTAAATATTGAGAAGACGAAGGAAAAAAAAAAAAGAATATTGTATACTAAGATTCAGTGGTGTAAACCTAAGATCAAATGACATCTTTTACATAATCTTGGCAAAGTAAACCTTGTATAAATCAAGATTATAGAAGTTTTCGTTGTCTTTACCAAAAATTAGTTTGTGTAAAGTATCAAGAATGATATCGTTTCGTTTTGGTTTTTTTTCCCTTTCGTTCTTTTCTTTTACTCTCCTTATTTCCTCTTTCAGTCGTTTCTAATTTCTTCCTCTCTTTTCTTTCAATCCTATTCAATCTAGTTATCCTATGCTAACTAGAACTAACTTCCTTAACCCAATTTTTGAATCGATCCAAAAAAAACTTTATAATTTACGCAGCCTTTATTATTTCCGAACGTATTCGTCACGATATTGAGCAGTAGAATTACAAATAACCATTTAAAACGTTTTTGCTATTACATCTGTTTATGATCTTAAATTCAAGGTACATTCTAGTGTTTATTTGTAATGATTGCATTTTAGAAGCGACGTGAACGTCAGATTATGGAGAAAAAACTTCATCGGCTTTCTATTGGTTCGCTATAGTTATTCTACTCAAAAACCAATGCAATAATTACAGCCTTAAGCTCCGTTTACACGAGCGATTTTTGCTGCGCTTTCTTTTGCGATATTGTCCATAATAAATAATGGTAAAGAATTTACTTGTAAAGTTTTTTTCAGGATACCAAGATTTTTCTAGACGAATGTCTCTTTTGAAGGATGAGGCAAAAGAGTTCATATTCCCGAAAATTGCCACAAAAATCGCCGCAAAAATCGCCAGTGTAAACGGGGCTTTACATCGACTTGGCTGCAATCCATCTAGCTTAGGGTTTGAATACCCTCAAAACGAAGCAGTGATGGAGAAAGGGTATAAAGTCTGCACCTGCAAGCCAGTTTTTCGTGGGGGATTATTGGCATCATATTGGTTACCTTACCTTTATGATAACATGCTTTTGCCTTCAGACCAAAAATAGATATAGTATCAAAGAGTATTTTTGGATTAAGTTTAGAATGGGGCTTCTAATTCAAAATTCCAATGTGTTGCTCAGTTAAAAGACGGGTCTTTTGAGTTTAGGATCAGCACGACGCAAGAGATGATGAGGCTTCAAGCGATAAAAGTGATGACAGAGAAAGTATTCGTAAAAAAAAACCATGAATTTTATCGTTGCCTCGAAACAGCCTCTTGGCTGTTCAAAGTTAGGGCATGGCTAACTCACATATTGAACCCTGAAACAACCTCTAGGCTAATCTAAGTTAGGGCATGGCTAACTCACAGATCAAACCCTGAAACAACCTCTGGGCTGATCTAAGTTAGGGCATGGCTAACTCACAGATYAAACCCTGAAACAACCTCTGGGCTGATCTAAGTTAGGGCATGGCTAACTCAAAGATTGAACCCTGAAACAACCTCCAGGTTGATCTAAGGCAATCCATGGCTAACTCACAGATTGAACCCTGAAACAAACGCTAGACTGATGTAAGTCAGATCACAGCTAACTCACAGATCGACTGATTGGAATATAGCTTGATAGGTTTTGCGGAGGGAGGAAAACCCTTGCATCAAGGAAGAGATGTAACAAAGTCTACCCACTTGTGATGCCGTTGTTTGACTCCAAAGACATTTTACCATCAGAATCAAATAAATACAAAATCTATAAAATCTCTACAGAAATCCTTCCCATCGAGGAATCACGCTTTTACAATAATTACAATAATGTATGGTTTCGTATTAAGGCCAAGTAACTTTATAGATATTTCTTTTTGTATTGAATATGCAACAAAAACAATGTGTATACTTTGATAAAGAAGACCTGACAATTGGTTCACACCCACTTAAAAATAGCCAAATAATCACGTCATTGTCTTACGTTTAAAACAAGAAAATGTGAAATCCAAGCTATAGGGTCACGAGGCAAAGAAAAGAGAATGGTTTTGTTGAAGTTTTGCTTTAGTGAACGCTAAGGCTGAAATCAGAAATGTAAGAGTAAGTAGATGTTTCCCAAAAGGAGAATATTAGCATGTGCATCATTGAGTGCATCTTCACTACACCTAAGAAAAGCTATGTCATCTTAACTGATGGACCTTCTTCAACACTGTACAGGTGTTTAACGGCTGAACAAACCCTTAATTTGCGTTGCTGTAAAGAAAATTTGAAGCCCTTGAAAGATTGGTGCTGGTTAATAGTAGAAGCAATGTCAACGTCTTCTTTGGGAGTTGTGCGTTTCCATAGAGGTGCAGGCAAGCTGTCTTATTTGTGAAGCTTGGTTCTGAATGGGATTGATTCAACTGTTTGGTCTGTTCTATTCGTATCTACACGTTGTGTTTTGTACCCGTTAGGCAAATAAATACATCTTTCAGCTGAGGAAGTAGTAATTTCACTCTCTTTGAGAAAACTTGCAAGAAGAAACAAAATGAAAAGAGGCACTTGGCACTTATTCAGGAGGTGTTGTGGAAAAAAAAGTTTGATCTTAAAATCTCAAAACTCGAATCCATTAGACACCACAAAAGAAAGAACTATTTATATAATACAAGCCTGTTTCAAAGAAAAAGAAAAAATATGAGCAAACTTTTCTCTCGTTTGTCTTTTGACATCACATCGTTCATCACTTGACTGTTGTACCATTTCTTGGTGCGACCATGCAAGGACTTCACTAGATTTTTCTCCATAAAAACCATATCTTTTAAGCTTTCCTTTGTCTAATTCTATTTAATGCAATCGTTTCTCGTAAACAATTGCCCACTTGAGTGAGAGTTAATGAAAAAAAAAAAAAAAAACCGATTCTGGAAAGTTAAGTCTTAAACATATTTATGATAATGTAGTGAACTTAATATCCTAACCATGCAAAGACCTTATACTAAAATATTCTCCACAAAAACACTATATTTTCTTTTCTTTTTTATTCTATTTCAAGCAATTGCTTCTCGTAAACAATTGGCCACTTGAGAAAGAAGTTCATGGAAAAACGATTACGGAAAAATAAGTTAAGCTTATTAATGATGATGCAGTAAACGTGTCCTACAATTCATGTGACATGACTTGTTCAAAGTCTAAAAAAAAACGAATTCTTTAGGGATTAACAAGCTAGAATGGGAATGATATGAGTAACAAATTGAACATCGCGTAAGAAAAAAGCTGTACTTAACTAACTTTTTTATTACAATTAGCTGAAGTTACTTACAAATCATTTCCATCATCAGTACACACATTCTACACCGATGCAGCTCAAAATACCATACCAAAGTTTATACTCAGAACCTGTTTGAAGAAGTGACTCAAAGTTCGTATTCAAGTGTTAGTAACAAAAAGAAGCCAAAACCTTAAAATATGAGTGGATGACATAAGAACGCCATATGCAATGTTGCTCGACATTCATTTAGTGAGTTTTCGAGTCAGTTTCGTTACTTGTCTTTGCTAGAACAGCAAAAAAAAAAAAAAAAAAAAAAAGAGCTTGCATGTAATGTAATGATAATGGGAAGTTCTTATATAGCGCATTATAAATGAGACTCAGCTCAATTGTAACGTTTTTTCATTTCCCTGAGGATGGCCGAGTAGGCCGAAAGCTCGGATCATATTAAATCTATGGTTGATAAAACAAATTATTATGAATGTAACAACAACCAACAAGGAACTATTTGAGACTCAACTCGTTTTACAATCTTTGATTTTCAATGGAGGTGACTTTAGATGCTGCCACACAGCTTACAATCGTGAGAAGTGTTTTGTAAGTAGTATGTTATATGCTATAAAGAAACTATAAAGGTGTCTAAATTTTCATCAGAAGGTAAGATTTGGTAAAAGTAATTTGAGTAACCAATTTTTTTTAAAGTAAAGTGACTCAGAGAGCAAATCTATTCTTCAAGAAAACAAAAATCCTCGGCTGCCTCAATTTACTTGATTATTATTTTTCGGTAAGAACCTAGCAACGCCCATGAAAACAAAATAAACCTTTTGCTCATTTAACGAAAATTACAACGTACTATTTGTATAGCTAAAATTTGAAATCATTGTATGAATGCGCTAAGATATTGCAAATGTCAGAGTCAATTCCCCCTGTCAATAGCTTCTTCAGTTTATGTTTAGTGTTTATCAATGGGTTTACTACAAATTTCAGGCATTCATATTTGCAACGTGGCAACAGAATTTTGTATCAACACTCCATCGAACATGCAATATGAATTTTGAAGGATTTTCTTAATTAAAAATTAAACAAAGAAATGTATGTATCAGCTTTTAATCTTAATATCGTCCAGAACATATTAATATCGCGTAAATCTTCCTGGGATTCAGGCTTGAAGCCTTGACAAAATTTAAGATTTTGACATTCAAAAATATTGTTGTCAAAAAAAAAAAAAAAAAAAAAAAAAAAAAAAAAAAAAAAAAAAAAAAAAGAAAGAAAGAAAGAAAGAAAATGCAGACTATCAAAATATAGATTAAAGAAAAGACTTCAAATGTATAAAAAGATATATGAACCTAACCACGATTTTAAGTTAAATAAAAAATTTGGTTAAAAGATAAAATTTATGTTATATTATAATCAATTATTTATTTTTATTCTTATGTCTGCCATATTGATTGTTCGACGCAGAAAAACTTCTTTACATAAAAGTTAATATCCTTGTGTTTATATACTTGTTGGAACGTTTTCTTTTCGTTTCTTCTGATCTTTAAAAAATCTGTGCCTGTTTAATGACATTTTGTGTTTACCATATGAAAAATTGGTATATAACGATTTTAGATATTTTGTGGAGATCTATTAGTGCTACTAGCTAGTCATTGACATTACTGAATGACGCTGTTAACTCTATGCATACGATTATATGAAAGGAAAGGAAAGGAAAGGAAAGGAAAGGAAAGGAAAGAAAAATGACAATAAAACAGACCCAGCAATAAAAGAAAGAAAAAGAAAAGAGAAAATAGATAAGACAAAGAAATATTCTACTAAGTGACTAAGAAGGTTTGAAAGAGCTCGAAAAATAAATCCCAAAATATAAGGTTGGAAAGCAAAAACCAAAATCCAAAAAGAAAAACGCAAAATTTATTTTTTCCTCCAGAGAAACGAGTAAAAAACAAACATAAAAAAGAGAGGGCGAAGAGATCCACAATGCATTTCGATCCTAGAGTCTCTCGTGGTAAGAACATTTCTATTCGAATTTCTGACAACTAATTTGGTAATTGTAAGAGGACTTAGACCATCAATATCACGCTAAGTTCCAGACAGAGCAGAAGTTCGTTGATGTTCAAGAGTTTATAGTCTTTTTCGAACACGTTATTAAGGGATTTGTGTGTCGGAAATGCCCTTGTTGGTGCGTTGGACGAATGTATACAATCTGAACAAAACTGTTTTGCATCATCAAGAGAAAGATTAATCCTTTTTCCTGTGTTATTGGGATTAAGTTGTCAAACATACTGCGCAAACTGAAGTCGAACTGAAATAACATTCGCGCTAAAGACACGCAAGAAGGTTGAGATCAAAATAATAGATATATAGTATAGAAATGTTGTTGAAAATAAGCATTAAAGATATATTAAGTATCTTATTTCACTAGAAAAATTCTTGTCAGTAATTCACAATCAGAAATATAGGAAAAATTGAATTTGATTTTTCAAAAATCTAAATTTCTGTTCAAAAAATCTGTCAAAATTGAACGAAATTTTCAAAACTTTTCAAGTACAAAGCTCTACAATTTCGACAAGGCACATTACAATACAAATACATATTACAAGTATATACAAATCCTTAATAAAACTTTAAAAAGTCTAAGGAATTCGTCAGATCTCCAGGTAAGTAAAAAAAAATGGTAGTTTTGTTATAATTTTTTGCAATAATAATAAATAAATAGGTCGTATAATTCGCTGGACTAATGTTCCAAAAGAGCTGAATTAGCAGCTCTCGAAATTGCTGCGTCAAGCGATAAACATTTCAAATGCCTCCGTTGCTTATTTGGTATAGGAAATCAGATAAAAATAAAGTCTGTCAAACTTAATGAAGTATTATTAGATCAGCGAAAGGTTACTTAGAATGGCTATGGGGAGTTATCAATCAATTATGATAAATGCAGAAAAAATCTTAAATTTGGTCAACTCGAAGACCAAAATCCAGTCACTCGATATACAAAGGAAAACTCAGCATAAACTAGTTTACTTTATAGCTTTCTATAAATTATTTCAGATATAAGTAATTAGAATATACGAAAATAATAATGATAAAGATTGAAACTTGAAATGGCTTTCCTCGCGTCGGACATCGTAAAAATCAAATTGACCAAATTTAGGATTTTTTCTGATTGGTTTAGGAAGACGCCATTTGTAAGTCAAGGTATTCCACATGGTACCCGAGGGATTAAAATATGGCTCAAAAAAGCTAAAAGCGTTGGTACTATTATACATGTATAATATGTAGCCTGAACTAAAAAAAGTGCAATGTCAATGACGACCTTGGTTGAACTTGAAATTCAAATGCCTTTGAATTACTACGCATTTTCATCACGTATCACTTCAAGGCTTCTCTTCTGGCTATTCAAAATGAACACCACTCCTCGAAACTTAATTTGACTTCAAAGTGATTGTATTCTGTTGACATTGTTTTCTTTATTAAAAAAAATATTGAACATATATTAGCCTAGAGTCATCATGGTTTGTTAAGGTACAGTTCCTATGACAACCCAAGACAGGGACTGTACAGTACAGCACGTGGTATTCACGTGGACTAAGCTCTTGATTGTATAGTTAAGACAGTAGGATTACGGAACTATAGGGGTCTGTTGGTTTATAGGGAATAAAAAAATGCACGTGTTATCTACAGCATCCCTTTTTCTTGCGATTTTATGGTGTTTTTTTTTTTTTTTTCTGGATGAAAAAATAAGACGAAATTTCTGACAACTTCTTAATGTCTTCCCATATTCCAAACACCTTAAAATAAGAGTTTTGCTTTGTTTATAGAATAGGCCAAAAATGTGAAAACGATAGTGTTGTCAAGAGTTTGTTTCTTAACGTCTAGCGACAAAGATAGAGAGTTTTCTAATCCCAAAAGCCGTCCTCGAAAAAAGAGTTTTCTGAATGCTCTATTTATGCATAGAAATGATGTCAAACTTAACAGCGTCTAGAAAAAGGGATGTTCAAAATAATTTTCGCAGTGCCTAAAGTTTAGTTTTCGAACATTTGCACCCAAGACCTTCTACAAGGTAACCATAATATATAATCTTTAAGAGAAAATTTTGTCAAGTCTTAGACAAATAAAGAGAATATGAAAATCAAGAAATTAGCGTATTGGAAAGTAAGCTTGGATACCCATATTGACGTGTCTTTTCAAGCTCCACTGGGAAAGAAAGAAAGAATGCATGCGCTGTGAAATGGGACAACGC